TCAGAGATTCTCCTCCCACCACCTAGTGTCCTTCCACCTAATAATTACGTTCTCGGTTTATAGGAGAGTTACACATTGAGCATCATACTTGCTCACATATGGGCGTTAATTTACCTCGCAAAGCTTATGGGGAGAATCCCTACGCATTCACTCTAGCAATATCAGTTTAAAGTAAGTAAAATAAAGAGTATTATAGTAAGCTTGTTTGGATTTGTTATGGCCTTTTTAGCCCTGAGATAGAGCTTCAAGTCCCGTCTTCAAAACAAGGGAGGGTAGTGGGAGTTAATACGTTTTCAAAAGGTATTATGTGCCCTAAAAAACCGATTCACGTGCTCTTTCGAGAGATGCTCATCTGCGCTACTATTACTGTTAGCAAGAGTTGACTACGACTAAATGCATTTAATGAGACTTCACGCAGAAACTAATGGAGCGAGGCAATCCTCTTTCTCAATGAGAAAAGAAGCATAAATAAATAAAGTATTAAAGTTTTGAAAGTAAGATTAAGTTATAAATTAGAGTTTTGGTAGAGATCATTAGTTATATGCAACATTTAGATTTCTTCTCTAAGTAATATTTTAGATGTATTAATTTAATTAGTCTACCTATAAGAATGGGAGAACTTAATTTGATAAGTGGGAAGCAGGTTTAACTAATAATCGGGAGATTGCACTTTACACCGGAGGGGTACTAATGATGTGTTTCTACTAGCATTCACAAGTACAAGTGGACTTAAATAACTTTGTAATAAACAGAAGGTGTAGTTTATGTAGGCGCATTCAATAATTCCTTCATACTTGTCTATTTGTAAGTGTTCAATGACCATGCCATTTCTTAACTATAAATTTGTTTGGCAGCATAAGTATAGATTATGTTTGTGTGTAGAATATATGTGGTTCATTGTGGTGGTTCGGAGACATGATGCGGGAACGATTATGAATTTTAGTGTTGGGATATTTTGGTGTGGGTTAGACATACTGGATACAATCCTGCTCTACTCTGTTGTATATATTACTTTGTCTTATCTTGGTTGTATATCTTTTTGGTTTAAAATCTTTTGGTTTGCTTATATATTATTATCAATCGGTGGTTTGATCGCCTTTCACGCAAGTGGGCTCGTGGCAGTAATATCTTTACTTCGCCTCTTAATCTTTGTTGTTTCTTTTATTTTTAGCCAATATTACTTTTTGGAGGGAACACGGCAAGAAATGTAAGTTTACGCAGGGTGAGTGTATTATGTAGGCTCAATAAGAGTACGAAGACTATACCTTACTCGAAGGCCGCTTACTTAAGTTTATCTATATATATTTCTTTATGTACCCAATTACTTAATATATACTTCTATTATTTTATCTAATGGTGGAAATGGTAAATGTGTGGTGCGCCTAATATAGAATACACGTAGATAGTTAAAAGATTCTAGGGATAGACTATTTGTCTATTATTCTAAAAAGCCCGTGGAAGTCGAGGATGTCTCTTCACGCATCGAAAAAGTTTGGCAACGGACCATACGGAGCCACACAGCACCACAAACTTATAAAACCACTAGGGCAAACGTTTTGCAGGCCCACACATTATGAATATTCTCTTCAAGTCGCGCCCACATCAAAGGCACAACGAGTTTGACACGTAAACTATGTTTTTTGGTTATCCCTGTTTTGCTTCCGAAGTAAAGACAAAGAAATAAAAACACAAAGTTGAGTGGTTCGAAAGAAAAGATTAATCATTTTCTCAGAAAGGAAAAAGCTAAGGAGAGCTAAGGGTTCACAAGAGGGGATTTCCCATTAGAAAACTATATCCACACAAGCTTGAAGGACCTTCCATGGCAGGCGTATCTCTCATTTTTCTATCATACTTCATTATGACTTCCTCGTCTCTAATCTCACTAAATCGAGAGTGGGACTAGTCCGTTAGCTTTTTCTAAAGGGTTATTATAGATTGAAACACCCAAGACGATGTAACGTAAGGAGTGTGTACGCTATTACTCTTATCAGTGGGCGATAGAGACGATGCAAATGGATGGCATGTGATGTGAATTTCGCAGTTTTTACTATTTCATTTTCCTATCATCTCTAATCCAAGGCAGTTTTACTCGTCTCTGGTGGGATTGGTTCCATATACAGTACCTCTTTTCCATTCATTAGTTTTCTTGTGATTTGGGGGTAGCATAAGTACGGGAGGACGATCATGCTTGGGTCCTGGACTGCAGATAACCGCTTGGTGGCTCTATACATACGCTACATATAGAGCAGAAACGACTTCGTAAGCAAAAGAAGCTGCGGCGGTAGAATGGGATTCGGGTGGCCTGTAGTTGACCATGCGATAGAACACTCTCTATGATAATAAATCTGAACAATACATTGGGTAGTTGTGAAATGTAAATTAAGTAGGTCGATTGGAACATTTCAACACCGGGTACATCGGGCGGAATTGGGGATGGCCAATGTTAAATTCATTCCATAACGGCCTTGTGGGTGTTAGTGGTGGAATTCTCTCCGCTGGATTTTCCTCCACACTTTCATTTATGTCAAACTGGCCTTTGTGGGTTTCAAAACTTTCATATCAAACTGGGAGAACACTCTTTTATATAGGATCTTCAATACCCTTAGATAATTTAGGACAGTTTTCTCATTATTATACCAAATTTACATATTTTCTTTTTGAGGGCATCTGGCTCTGGGTTTTTAGTTTTAGGAACCTTTACACAAATTCTTATCTACTTTTAATCCAATTTAATTTTTACAAGAAGAATTTTGCGGATATTTGGGAATTACATCTAAATTTCTCACATTTGGCTATTCCTGCGGAATCGGATTCTGGGACTTGCCATTATTCTAACTGTCCACAATATTTGTAGTATTAAAGGAAGATCTTTTAGTGATTTTAATTACTCTCATGGTGATGTATCACTATACTGAGCACACTCTCAGAGGAGGACTTTATAAGTTTTTTAAATCGAAATCTCTTAGGAAATGGGAATTAAGTACAAAACGACCGAATTTTAGAATGAATGACTTTGGGTTGTGCGCTACGACCCGACAAAGTTGGAGAAGTAAAATTTGGAAAAAAAATTTACCTTAAGCCAGACGACAGTGTGGATATCTTCCTCAGTCATCTCCTCTCGATCAACCGGTTGTTTGATGAAAATTAAAAATTTAACGTTGAAATGTTTGGTATCAGACAAAACTTTTAATCCAAATCTTTATTTAAATTTAATAGGAAAAATAAAAAAATAAAAAAAAATAAAACAGTATATATATATATATATTTTTTTTTTTGATCAGCAAAGAAAAATTTTATTTAACAACATGAAATTAAGAGTACAGGAAGATGACATGCATCGAGAGAAATTCGGAAAGTACGAAATACCCCTACATTATAAAGATGTTCTTACAAGAGAGACGATAAGCATGGCTCACTTCAACCAATCACCCCAAGAAATAAAATAGAACAAGTACATAAAGAAAAACGATTTTTAATTATGCCGATTAATCCACTTCTAAAACCGACCACGTATTGGTATCACGTCGGTTAGTATGTGTTGGGACACATAAACTAAACCAATGTAATACTAGATACAAGATGGATTAGGGCAGGATTAGTCGGTCTAAACAACAATTCTCAAAATAAAATAAAATAAAATAAGAAAGTAAAAGCTAGTCCATGAGATTCATGACTTTCTTCCAGGCAGGCCTGCTTGAAATATCCATCCACCAAGAATTCACATTCTTTCTGTTTCTAACCAAGTGTCCAAGCCCAGCTTCATTCAACAGATACCTAATAGCCGGAAGGTGGCTGAGGTCAGCGAGCGTGAACGAATCTCCAGCTAGATAGTTGCTCTTCGACAACCTCTGCTCATAGATGTCGAGCACTTTCTCAAGCTTGTCCTCACAGCTGTGGACCAATGCCAAGTCGCTTTGCTCCCCCATGCGTGGGAGGACCACCAGCTGAAGAACCATGTTGTACACCAAGTCGTTGAAGTTGTGTGCTTCGATCTCGAGCCACTGGTCAACCAGGGCTTTCTCTTCCAGAGTGGTTCCTAGTAGGTTGGGACCGTAGTCTGCATTCTTTGCTGCATAGTACCTTATGATTGCCCTTGACTCTGTAAAATGGGTGCCCAACATGGCCCAAAGAAAAACAAAGATGACCATTTGTTAGAATTTAGGCTTTTTTCCAAAGGGTCTTGTTAATGAAGATGCACGACCACAAATTATGATTTTAGAGACAAAAATTTAATGACTAAGGCGTCTAATTTAGTAACTTTTTGACTTTTTATATCCTCAATTTTTAATTTTGAAGTGTCCGACCCCCAGATATGCACCCGCACCGGATACCCGGAACCGAGTCCGTGTAACATAGATAGAGAGAGATGTCTTCCTAATTTATTTCTTTTTTTATTTATTAATAATTGATATAAGTCTTGGAATCTATTAAATTAATGCGATAATGTTAGCTGAATAGACAAACTTTGATATATAATTATGATCTACACGCCTGAAATGAAATGATAAAATTAAAAAACGTAAATATGATTATTATAATGGTATTCATATGATATATTTCTACATCTTAAAGAGAAAGCCATCATGTAATGCAAAAGTCCATATATTATGTAATAGGAATGTGCACAACCACCCCCTCTTTTGTAGAATGCGGTCTCCGGCCACTGACACATTAAAATTTTACAATTCTAAGCTAGAGATATTAGTATATATTTAGCATTATTATTTCATAAACCAACATTTAAATCTAATACGCCTTATTTACTTACCATCATTATATCATAATCAGCATCTAATCCCTAGTAATTGGTTAGAGCACTTGTTTTTCTAATGATCTACCTACATTCTAATCAAACCATCACATATATCTTTTGTTTTATACATTGGCCATCTTTTCATGCTCACTATACAACACATTCTTCATTAATCTTCTACTTCTTTAAACTTGGTTTTTATCTATAAAGGCACTCTTTTCATTTTTACCAAAACAAGTTTGCAGGTAAGTGCTTTTTTTACTTGATTTCCAATACTATTACTTGATTTCTTAGATAAATATAGATATGATAGTAAACAAAACAAGTGGGTCTTCTTTGTTTGATAGATTGATTTTTACTTGATGATATAGGATGCAAAGGAATAATGGCATGCCGGCATGCGCATCGTGCAAGCATCAGAGGAAGAAGTGCACTGACAAGTGTGTGTTGGCACCGTTCTTTCCAGTAAACAAAAGTCGAGAATTCCAAGCTGTGCACAAAGTGTTTGGTGTGAGCAACGCGACCAAAATTGTGAAAAATCTCAAGGAAGAAGATAGGAAAAAAGCCATAGATTCATTGGTGTGGGAAGCATTTTGTCGGCTAAAAGATCCAATCTTAGGTCCATATGGAGAATACAGAAAAGTGTATGAGGAGCTTAAATTGTACAAAAGCAGCCAATACCAACAGATCCTCCAAGTACCAGAAGAAGGAGGTGGCATGGTTTACAAACCAACAAGTTTGGTTGGATGGAACAATACTAATACTAATACTAATAATAATGCAATAATACAAAAGGGTACAAGTATGGTTGGAGTAGCCAATTATAACAATAATAATACCAATTATATTCATCACAACAATGGAAATTCTATTTCAAATTCAAGTCCATATACTTACTCTTTAAATCACCATAATATCCATGGTATGGAGAGAATAAGGCAAGAAAGGCATGTTGGTTCTGCAGTAGATGTAGTTCTACCTCAACAAAATTCTGTCAATAGCTTAAACCAGCAGTACTATCTTTAAGGTATATATATTGTGTTCACGATTCTTACCTAATTTGGTTCCTACAAGTACAACTGGTACAGTTGGTGCATAATGTCTCAGCTCAGGAATCCACTAAAGAGCCAATTGAACAGTATTTTTTTTTGTTAGAAACCAATATTTGTTTGGATAATATGAATCCAAAAAAAAAAAAATGTTAGAGAAAATGAATAAGGAAATTATTAATGCTGTTTTGTCTTGTAATGAATAACCTTCTTAGAGATATTCTCATAGCTGGCTCTGCTAATGAGAGAGAAGACAAACAAGAAGACATCAGCACCTCTGTAACTCAGAGGCCTCAGCCTGTTGTAATCCTCCTGCCCTGTAATATATCCACCATATTGATGAATTGATTAAATTGGTGCTTCAATTATACTAACTTTTTCTTAGTTACATAAACATAAGGGAATGTTTGCTTGTATTTTTCATTCTATTTTCTATTTTACAGAAAACTTGTTTGGATAATTGTTTCCGCAATTTTTAAGAAAATATTTTTTAATTTTCAAAAATTGTTTCGACACAAAAATGAGAAAGACATGAAAACAACTTTTTTTTTTAATCTTTTTATTTTCATAAATACGAAAACAATTACTAACCCGCGGTATCCCAAAGTCCAAGGTTAACTGTACTTCCATCAACCACCACATTAGCACTGAAGTTGTCGAACACAGTTGGCACATAATCCTATCAAAAACAAAAAAAAAAAAAAAAAATTTAAGGAGAGAGAGAGAGATAGAGAGAGAGAACGTTATAATTACCATCACATATCTTTTCTAATTTCATAGAAAACACATTAATCAAATTAATCATGTTTAATAGTTATTTTGATGTTTAATTTTTGTGGATGTGTACAAAAGAGATATTTAAGGGAAGAACAGAGGATGAATAAGAGTTGGGTTGATTTTCCAAATAGGATGTCGAGGGAATACATTAATGGGATTGATCAATTCCTTGTGTTTGTCTACACCAATAGGGCTGAAGGTTCGATGATTAGTTGTCCGTGTAGAAAATGTGAGAATCGATATCATCTTGTACGAGAGGGTGTACAAAAGCATCTGATTTGGAATGTTTTTTTTTAAAGTACAAACATTGGATTAATCATTGGGAATCTTACGTATCTCTACATAGTAATTATGAGAATGAAACATTGACTAATTTAGACATTGGAGATGATATGGTTGGAATGATACAAGAGGCTATGGGAAATGCACATGTCGATACAAGTGTTGAGGGTAATGAACCACAGGCTCCTGAGCCCCATGCATCTGAATCCCAGTTTGGTCCAAATGTAGAGACTACAAAGTATTTCAAACTTCTTCAAGAAGCACAAAGTGAATTGTATCCGGGTTGTCAGAAGTTCACATCTTTGTCATTCATTGTTCAACTTCTACATTTGAAGGTGCTTAATCAGTGGACAAACAAGTCTGTTGACATGTTGCTTGAGTTATTGAATAAGGCGTTCTCGTTAGGTGTGAAACTCCCGGACTCATATTATAATGCTCAAAAGGTCACAACAGATTTGGGCTTCATGTATGAAACGTGGGATGCATGTCCCAACAGTTGCATGTTGTTTTGAAACGAGGACGCCAATCTTGATAAATGTGTCACATGCAACAGTTCTAGATGGAAATCAAATGGTGATGGTGGTTCAAATGGTCCTAACAAAGGTAGCAAACGAATAGTTGCAAAACAGATGAGTTATTTTCCTTTAAAGCCAAGGTTGCAGATGTTGTTTATGTCATCCAAGACAGCCTAGTTAATGAGATGGCATCCAGAGGAATGAACTGATGACGGTGTCTTTAGGCATCCTGCTGACTCCTTTGCATGGAAAGATTTTGATCGTCGGAATATTGACTTTAGCAATGATTGCCGAAGTGTAAGGCTTGGCTTAGCATCTGATGGTTTTAACCTATTCAGGACGATGAACATAGTTCATAGCACTTGGTCTGTTGTGCTCATTCGATACAACTTGCCGCCATGGATGTGTATGAAACAACCATTTCTAATTTTATCTATGCTTATTGATGGCCCAAAAGGACCTTGTGACAAGATTGATGTGTATTTGCAACCGTTGATTGAGGAGTTGAAAGAACCATGGAATGACGGTGTCTCCACATTTGATGCATCAACAAATCAAATGTTTCAAATGCATGCAGCTTTACTGTGGACAATTAGTGATTTTCCTACATATGCAAACTTGTCAGGATGGAGCACTAAAGGAGAATATGCATGTCCTTGTTGCAATAAGGAAACTACATCGTGTTGGTTGAAGCATAGTAGGAAACAATCATACTTGGGTCATCGTAGATTTTTACCTAGTGGCCATAAATTCCGAAAGGATAAAGTATCATTTGATGGTAGTCAGGAATTCAGACTCAAACCAAAATTGTTGTTTGGAACTGAGATGTTGCTACAATTGGTCTGAGGGTATTTTAACCCAATACAAGAGGGATGACCTTAAGGAGAGGCATAAGAGACAAGTAGAGAAGGAGAAAGCTAGACATCACACCTATAGCTGGAAGAAAAAGAGTATCTTTTATGAACTGCCATATTGGGAGCACAATCTAATAAGACACAACCTCGATGTGATGCATATAGAGAAGAATGTTTGTGACAATGTGTTGTGGACAATATTAGGGGTTGTAGGAAAATCGAAGGATGGTGTTAATTGTTGGCGTGATTTACAAGAAATGAATATTAGAAAACCCCCACATTTGCTGTTAAGAGGGTTGAATAAAGCTTATTTACCACCAGCACAATTCACGATGACCAAGGATGAGAAAGATTTGTTCTTAGAAGTGTTGAAGGAAGTTAAAGCTCCCGATGAGTATTCATCGAATATATCGCGTCGTGTGCGCTCATAGGATAAAAGTATTAGAGGTCTTCAGAGCCATGATAGTCATATTCTGATGGAACAACTTATTCCCTTAGCTATTCGAAGATCATTACCGAAGAATGTAATTGAACCCTTGATTGAATTGAGCAATTTCTTTAGACAATTGTGTTCCAAAGTGAATCGTGCGACGGATTTGCAATATATTCAAGAACGTATTGTCGTAACACTTTGTCATCTAGAGAAAATATTTCTTCTGACTTTTTTGATATAATGGAGCACTTGCCTGTACATCTAGCTAACGAAGCATTATTGGCTGGAGCAATTCAGTTTCGATGGACGTATCTAATTGAGAGGTTTCTTCTTACTTTGAAGCAATATGTGCGTAATAGAGCTCATCCAGAAGGTTCAATTGCTAAAGGATATCTTATGGAAGAATGAATGAATTTTTGTGCACAATATCTTAATGATGTGGAAACCAAATCTAGTCGACCCGTGAGGAACTACAGTGGTGATGATAATCTGGGTCATGCTGTTGGTGAAAACATAAGCTTCTATCTTGATAATACTTCTTGGGTACAAGCTCATCGGTAGGTCTTATTCAATACAAGTGTGGTTTAACCATTCATAAAGTAGGTTAGGTCACTCACTCAATATTTTGTTATGTTTTATTGAATTTTGAACAAAATTTTTCAATTTGATAAATTTTCAATCTACACAGCAAACACCTTGAAGTACTTAAGGTCAAAATGTCTCGTGTCAACGATCATTAACTTCGGCATGAACATTTTGAAACTTTTCACATTTGGTTCAAGGAACATGTATGTATTTCAATTTACAGATTCTAGTTACCTAAGTCGAACTACATTTTAAATTTTACATTTTTGTTTTAAATAGGTCCAAACTTTGTGAAAGACTAGTGATGTCACATTTTCTGAAGAGATTATTGTATTGGCAAATGGTCCTCATAACCTGGCAAAAAGGTTCAATGGGTATATGATGAATGAGTTTCAGTATCGAGTAAAGGCTATGGAAAACTGTCGAGCCACACAAAATTGTGGTGTAGTTTTAAAGGTAGATACCATAAGTTATGCTAGTCGGAAAGACAAGAATCCTCATGTGGGGTCTATCTACTATTGTGGACAATTGATAGATATTGTTGAGATTCGATATTCCAATGAGAATAAGCATGTGTTGTTTAAGTGTGATTGGATTGACAACATTCACGGGAAGAAAGAAGATGTTTTTAATTTTACGTTGGTCAACTTCAAGCATTTGTTGTACCGAGATGATCGAATTACCAATGAACCTTTCATCTTGGCATCCCAAGCAGAGCAAGTTTGGTATGTTGCAGATCCATTAGAACTAGACTGGCAAGTGGTCGTGAAGATGTCTCAAAGAGGTTTATTTGATATGAACTCGATTGATCCAGAAATCGAGCGATATATATGCCAACAATTGGAAGAAAACATAATGCTCCGTGATGAAGAAGTTGGTTAGGTAAGGGAAGCCGCAGAAGGAGAAACACTTGATGTTGAAATAGACTGATATTTTATAAACATCAGTAATTGAGTTAAGGCCAAGGTTGTACTTAATCATCAATTTCTTAATTTACTTTGTCTTTGTAATTGTAATAGTTCAATTAATATCATATTATAATTGATTCAAAACCATTCTCTATGCTTCTAATGTCAATTAATGTCATATTGCTTGTAGATTATTATGGCAAGGAAGAGGAAGCTTGATCGTCCCCTACGCAAGATGTCCAATGTGGTATGTAAGAGGACATCAGTGGCACCACCATCAGAGGGGCCATTAGTGCCACCACCATCAAACCAGCCACCACAGCGACCACCATTAGAGGAGGCATCACAGCGACCACCATCAAAGGGGCCATTAGTGCCACTACATCGACCACCATCAGTGGCACCACATCAGCTATCATCTACTCAGTCTCCATGCCTACCATTGGTGCATCCACCATCAGTGGCACCACAGCAGCTATCATCCCGACTAGAGTCATCATATTCACCGCCAATCGCAGGTATATAAATTTTCTTTGATTTGTATGAAAATTATTTAAATATACATTTATTTATTCTCATTATATATAACTTGTTTATTCTCATTGTATCTTCCAGACCCTTCGACTTCTTCACAGCCCACATCAGGTATAAGAATTCGATTTGTATTAATATTATTTAATTTTGCATTTCTTTATTATCATTGTATATTGTTTATTCTTGTTGTATCTCGCAGGTCATGTTAGTTCTTCATCAACCTCGACTAAGCGTGGTAGAGGATTTGCCAAGGACATTAAGGAGTGGGGTGCTGGTACAAAGTTGGACATACAATTTGACGAAAATTACTACCCAATAGGGGATAATGTGTCTAACTTAACTACTCAACTTGGCATTATTGTGCGCAATGGTAACATTGTTCCTCTTACTTTTCTTGACTGGGTCACTGTGCTTGACGATATTATTGATGCTATCTGGAAGGATATAAAGGTAAAAGTCTATTTTTGTCCAAGAATTCAAATTCCAAAATTGTGTTACTATTATTTAAACTTTTAAATTGTGTTTTGTAGGACAATTTGAATGTATGTCCAGAGGAGTATAAGCCAATCTGCATGAAAACCTGCAACAACATGTGGAAGGATCACAAGAATAAGATTAAGACCAAGTATTTCAAGCCTAGAAGTTCTGATCTTAATCTGAAGAATGACGTTCCTTTGCACATTGTGCCAAGCAAGTGGGAAGAACTTGTGGAGTATTGGCGTACTTCCGATGTTGAGGTAAACAAACAAGTTATATGTATGATATGTAAACATATAAATCATATTTATGAACTGCCATTTGTTGAATCTGTTACAGAAAATTGCAACTAGGAATGCTAAAAGTCGGCGAGCTCACGACATACCTCATAACACAAGGCGTACTACTTTCGCTCATATTCGGCATGAGGTTTATATTTTATTATTTTTATTTTTGTATATAAATAAGCATTATATATTTGCAAATTATTTGGATTCTAATTTTCATATTTCTAAAAAAATCTAGATGACCAGCAAGAAGAAGTCCACTGAGAAGATGAATGTTTGGCTTATGACACGTAGAGCAGATGACCCTGAGGTTATCCAGACCTTGGTAGTTTCCAAACACCTAACATTGACTTTAAATTTTATTTTTTATTTTTTGTGTGTCAACCATATTAATTTGAGATATACTTGTATGTCTTATTCAATATAGGATGAGTTTAATTGTCAACTCTTCATGCTACTTAAGGATTGCCGGACTTTAGAGGCTAGGAATGCAATTTTTCATGAGTTGATAGGTCATGACGGACATGGATATTGTCGCACTTACGGGAGAACTGTGCCTCGGAACGCAGTGTATAAAGATGGTGCTGGGCCATCACGGTCAATACCCCAGCCATCGACTATTGTTCAGATCACCAAGCAGGTTCGTGCAGAGCTAAAGGATGAGTTGAGGAAGAAGCTGAAGGAAGAGATGCGAGCAGAGTTCTCTACACATTTACAGCAGATGAGAGCTGAGATGATGACCTTTGTGTCACAAGGGGTGAGTATGGATCCCAACAGACAGGTTCGATGTAAATTAAATTGTTTGATAGTTAAATCTTCACACAACATATTTATACATATATATATATATACAATAAAATTTAAATATGATTAACACATTATGTATGCACTGTCATAGGTTCCTGATGCATCGAGTGGCCACCGAATATTTAGGGAATCTGCAAGAGATGAGACTCCATGTACACCACCATCGGAAGATTAGGTATGAAATGTATCTTTGCATTCTAAGCTAAGAATAACCATACATTAACTGTACACAGCCCAAAATGATAGAGGCTAATTCCATAATTAGAAAGAAAGACAAACAATTTTCCATTGTTAGCATGAAACTTGGCACACACGACCACCTAGGCATTAGGGACTTGTGGGAAAAGATGGCACTCGAATCGGGTTCCCGATTTAGAAGTCAGAGTCGGATTTCACTCTAGGCAAACTAGTTCTTTAAAAATCACCAAATGGCATCGAATTAGCATGAAACTTGGCACGCACAACCGCTTAGGTTGTGGGAGAAGACGGGACTCGAATCGGGTTCCCAGTTTGTG